TTCCTTCCTTCCTTCCTTCCTTCCTTCCTTCCTTCCTTCCTTCCTTCTTTCTCTTTTTCTTTCTTTCTTGCTTGCTTGCCTGCTGTTTTCACTCTTAAAGCAAAGGCACTTGCCAAGTAATTAGGCCTAGAGACCTGAGTTTGCGTGTAAAGGTAGAACGAGTGAACCAACTCCATAGAATGGCTTTCTGACCTTTACGTCTAAACTGAGATTGGTCTCATTGTGTAGTCCCGGCTGTCCTACTCCACAGGGAATTTGTTTCTTGCCTACTCTTGCTATGTAGGCCAGCTTGTCCTCGAACTCACAGAGATCTGCTTGCCTCTGTCTCTGAAGTGGCGTGGGCTCTGCGGACACGCTACACAGTTACGGTATTGGAGCTCCTGGTTGCTGTTCTTTGGGAGCGTGGTTGATTCCAGGGTTCTGTACTTGCAGGGTGAGAATTTACCGGCTGAGTTGAAAACTGCTCCTAAGGTGGGCAGACCACCCTCTGTGTGTGGTCACTTCAACCAAAGAACTGGCAAAACCTGCCGGGTTCAGGGCACAGTGTGAAAAGCAGACAAGCTTGTCCATTGAAGGGTTTCAGTCTTTTGACAGAATGCTTTGAAGGAGGGCGGGCAGGTGTTTTTCTGTGGCTTGCGCTGCTGCCGCAGTGCGTAGCAATGTCTAACTTGTCGGTGGCGCGGCCTGGGGCCGTAATACGTCCGGTTCTCCTTCTGCTGCTTTCGGTGTTGGCGCGGTATTGCCGTGGGACGTGGCAATGTCTAATTTGTCGTTGGCGCCGCCTGGGGCTGTCACGATGTTTGTTTTTTCTCCAAACAGCGTGTGCCAAGGTCCTACCCTCAGGTCAGCTTCCCGGAGGAGGAGGAGGAAGAAATCGTTCGCATCAACCCCCGGGAGAAGATCTGGATGACGGGGTACGAGGACTACCGTCATGCGCCAGTGCGCGGCAAGTACCTGGACGCGGGCGAGGACAGCGACTCCTCCTACGTGCGCTTCGCCAAGGGCGACATTCCCAAACACGACTACAACTACCCCTACGTGGACTCGTCGGATTTCGGCTTCGGCGAGGATCCCAAAGGCCGGGCCGGCTCCGCCGTGATCAAATCGCAGCCGCTGCGGGGGAAGTCCCGGCGGCGCAAGGAGGAGGGCGAGCGCTCGCGCTGCGTGTACTGCAGGGACATGTTCAACCACGAAGAGAACCACAGGGGTCACTGCCAGGACGCGCCCGATGCCGTGAGAACTTGCATCCGCCGCGTGAGCTGCATGTGGTGCGCCGACAGCATGCTGTACCACTGCATGTCGGACCCTGAGGGAGACTACACAGACCCTTGCTCGTGCGACACCAGTGACGAGAAGTTTTGCCTCCGGTGGATGGCACTTATTGCCTTGTCTTTCCTGGCCCCTTGTATGTGCTGTTACCTGCCCCTCCGGGCCTGCCACCATTGTGGGGTGCTGTGCAGGTGCTGCGGAGGGAAGCACAAAGCCGCTGCGTGACTCAGTGACTCAGTCTCCCCCTCCCCCCTTCCTTCTCCATCCACAGCCACAGCGAATTTGTTTCTTGCCTACTCCCAGTCTCCTCCCCTCCCTGCCGACTCCAAAGGGCAAGGCCAAGAGGTGGCTGGGCTCCCTGGTCCCTTGCAACATCATTCCAAACCTGGGGAGGCCGCCACACTCTCGCAGTGTTCCGAGGAAAGAGCCTTCCGCTTAGACTCGTGTGTTTTACCAGCCTGTAATCATGCTGTCTTACCCATGTGTTCATTTCCTGGCCCCGCTCCCCACCTTTCCTGTTCTAAGGAATCTGCAGTGAAAACTGCTGGATTCAGGGGGTTCGTAGTTGGTTTTTTATTTTCCCCCACAGAGACCATTTTTTTCCCTGTTGCTAACCAACCCGGGTTTCTCCGAGATGTGACCAAATGCTGAAACCCTCCCAGAAGTGCTGTGACCTGCAGCTTGTTATTTGAGGGGCCGAGCCGGACAGCAAGCTTGTACCACAAAACAATAGTGCTTTAACTCCCAAAGCCAAATCTCTCGCATCATCAGCTGCAGTTTCTGTTTTTAGCCCATCATCATTTCCCTCTCCCGAAACAGTCACCTTTAAAAAATGACTTGAGAATTGAGCCTTAACTTCAGATTAACTTGTGAGAATCAGGAAAAATTCCTCAAATTGCTTTGCGTCCTCTTGGATCAGGGCTAGCTAGCAAGGGGATTTCAGTTTCTCTGAGCCTGCCCCATTTACCCCTAAAATAGGACCTTTTAGAGCTGTGTTGCCACTTCTAAAATCCTAGCAATACTAGAATAACACATCAGTGAGATAAATTTTACTCATTATTTTGCAAACCAAATAGATTTATTCAAACACAAACCAGTGTTCTATGGACAAGTTCCAGTTGAAAAACACTAAAGTTGTGGTGAATAAAACTGTAGCCGCTTCCTACCCCCTGCAACTATTTTATATTATTCAGGGGACATTTTGTTTAGGCGTATGTTTTTGCTTTAATTTGGGGCTCGATTTTTTCATTTATTCTTGGGGGGAAAAAACAAGGCCATATGTAAAAATCCTTCCGAAGCCGAAGTGTCTTTTCTGCTGTCACTGCACACCCACACTTGCCACTTGGGGTGCATAGGGGTGCATAGATAAGGGTAGGTCGCCAAGCCATGTAAAAGGCTTCTGATTCGCTGGAGGGGGGAAAGAAATATATATATATATATATATTTCCAACATACATATATATATTTATATATATTTATATATATTTATATATATAATATATATATAATATATATATATTATATATATATATTAATATATATATTCATATATATATATATATATTTCCAACATATATATATATATATGTTGGAACGAAGAGCCAAATCTTACTGAAGAGAAAAGTGACAGTGGTTACCTATACCTAGCATAGTACAATCGAAACTTCATGGGGACCATGAGGGACAGGCTTGTCATCACTGACTGACTGTTCTTCCCACTGAGATCTTTCCATGGCAATTACCAGTGGAAGGCAGGCTCAGTCCCCTATCTTCCTTCCCCCTCCCTTTATTGCACACAGGACATCAGTCTTCAAGGAAAAGGACTTTTTCCAGTCTGTCAATCACACTGGGAAAATGCTAGCCATGATTACCTTCATGGCAATGTTTTCTGCTCGCCTGACAGCCTGTCTCATTTCTTCAGACAGATCATCAGTGTAGATAACCCGTGTGGTTTATGCGTTCGTTGGTAGATGTTTTCCTTTGTTGAGATGACTGGTTGGGGCTGTCTGTTGTAGAAAAGGTGCAGAGAGCTGCCATCTGCCATCAGTGTTGATGGCGCAGTCTCCACGCCGGGAGACCTCAGACTGCCTCCAGCCAGCCTCCAGTGCTGTGGAGAGACTGTCTGTCCCCAGCCTGAGGGACTTTCCTCAGGCCTTTCACCTCTCTACGAAGCACAACACTAAGCCCCGTTTCCTCCGATCTCAGTTCAACTGCCCCTATTTATTTCAGTAAGGACACATCCCAGTCACTGCGTGTTGGTTGCCTTTGCCATTGTTTGTTCTCCCTCCCCTCTTGCCAGCTCCCACCCCTCTTCCGAGTTATGCTAGTAAATCTTACTCCGCGCATCATTCTTGGTTTGTGAAGGCAGCGGTTCAGGGCACAAAGACAGCCATGGGGACACTCGTGTAAATACGTCTAATTGCCACACCGCAGCTGAGCGGTGTGTAGAGTTTTCCCAGTCAGCTTTGCCATACTGACGTCAATCATTTGAGAGAAACTATTCAGATTTTATTTTTATACCTGTGATAACAAATCCTAACCAAAAGGTTTCCTGTGCAGACACTTCCCCGACTCTCACCCCAAGCTGTTTGCTCACATTAACAAAATTAAAGTGCCTGAAGCATAATTCATTCACCTGTGTACTAAAACCCCTGTTGTATTGATTTTTTTTATAATAAGCCTTTTTACCTCTGTAATATATATATATATATACACACACAAGTGTATGATGTACATTTTAGTTCTTAACTTTTTTTATGGTTTCTAATATGTATGACCGATGTAGCCATTGCTTTAAAATGTGCCATGTAAATATAAACACAGCCTATCAGACCGTTGGCTTTGGGGTATTTGTCTCACACAGGATGGGATGACGTTTCTTTTGAAGAACATGAGGCATAGGGCTGTTTTTTTTTTTTTTTTTTTTTTTTTTTTTTTTGAGGCCCTTCCCACATTCGTGGGGGTGGAGGGAGATCATGTTTGGCCCTCCTCAGACAGAGGCCTTCCTTTTTGTGAGCTATTTCCTCCCATCCCTGTGGAAGCCCAGACAGAGCAGTTGGGGTGGGAGGAATGGCGATGGGAGGCAGTTCCCAGAAGACTACAGCGACTGCACCAACCAAGGTTCCGGGGCAGCTCTGCCCACTTCCAAATGGGTGTTTTGGGTGCTGGAAAGCTACAGTGGCATTCCCCGGAGAAAATACAATAGATCTTTGAGGTTACACAGAAAGTGGCTCCTCTGTAGAACTTAATGGTGTTCTTTTTTAAAATGAGGTATATAGAGACCCCCTTCCATTCCAGGTTTAAGAAAGGGGGTTGTTTTTAAGCCACTGACCGAGATGGGTGCTAAAAGGTAGGAAACAAGCTGGGAAGTGGCGCACAGCTTTAATCTCCGCACTCAGGAGGCAGAGGCAGGCTGATCTCTTGAGTTCAAGACCTCGTTTGACCTACGTCCCTTGCTGAAACCAAAGCTAAGAATGGGAACTAGGTGACCCTACAGTCACGTGAGGCAGAGCACCTGAGCAGCCTGGCTAGTGACAACCCCCAAGTCCTTAAGGGCCTTGTCCCAAGCTTCTGAGTCCCTCCCTGTATGGAAAGTTGAGCCAGGACAAGTCCACCTGCTCTGACTGCCGCAAAAATGCGCACGGGTATCAATACCAGGAACTAGGCTGGCTGGGAGTCTCATTCTAGCTTTCCACAAAGTGAAGCATTCACACTCATTTCACGCTGAGGAGGCCCATGGAGAAGTGATGTTTCTTGATCAAGCTCCCCGAACAGTCTGCCATTATAATAATGACCTTTTTCAGTGGCCTCAGGTGTAAACGCTTCAGGACCAAAATCCAGGTGCTTGGTGTTTCCATCTTGCTAAGGGAGACAAAGGTAAGATTCTAATGTACAGAGTCAAGGAGATTAGCCTGGAACCATCATACCACAAACATACTACCCTAGCTTGTTTTAAGTTTTATTTTTGTTTATGCTTGAAATCTTATTTTTTTATTTATGTATTGGTGTAAATATATTCAAGTGTCCATGGAGGCCAGAAGAGAGTATCAGACCCCTGGAGCTGGAGTTACAAGTGGTTGTGAGCATTGGAAGAGGGAGAAAACAGGGAACGGGACAGGAGCCTCCCACAGAGAGCCTCTGAAAGACTCTACCCAGCAGGTGTCAAAACAGATGCTGAGACTCATAGCCAAACTTTGAGCAGAGTGCAGGGAATCTTACGAAAGAAGTGGAGATAGAAAGACCTGGAGAGGACAGGAGCTCCACAAGGAGAGCAATATAACCAAAAAATCTGGGCACAGGGGACTTCTCTGACACTGATACTCCAACCAAGGATCATTCTTAGAGATAACCTAGAACTCCTGCACAGATGTAGCCCGTGGCAGCTCATTGTCCAAGTGGGGTTCCCTAGTAAGTGGAACAGGGACTGTCTCTGACATGAACTCAATGGCTGGCTCTTTGATCACCTTCCCATGAGGGGGGTTGGGGTGCAACCTTACGAGGCCACAGGAAGACAATGCAGCCAGTCCTGATGAGACCTGATAGACAAGGGTCAGATGGAAATGGAGGAGGACCTCCTCTACCAGTGGACTTGGGGAGGGGCATGGGAGGAGATGAGGGAGAGAGAGAGAGGATGGGATTGGGAGGGGATAAGGGAAGAGCTTCAGCTGGGATACAAAGTGAATATACTGTAATTTATAAAAAATAAATAAATAAATAAAGACAAACAAGTGGTTGTGAGCCACCCAGCCTGGTGCTGGGAATTGAACCCAAGTCCTGCAAACAGGCATGGACCACTCTTAATCTGTGAGCCACCTTTTTAACCCATTGTCATTTCTGCCCCACCCCACCCCAACATTTGTTGAATTTATTCAGTGATGCAAAACATTTACCTTTAAAGTGACAGAGAATTATTGAGCCTTAACTTGAGACGGTATGTTGAGGCAAAGATGACTCAAAAAAACCTCTCAGTGTTTAAGAAGCACTTGCTGCTTTTGCAGAGGACCTAGCTTCAGTTCCCAGCACCCACATGACAGCTCACACACAACCTTTCATCACTCTGGTCCCAGGCCATCTGGCATCTGGTACCCACTTCTGACTCTGTGGACACCAGGTACATATCAAGTACACATACATACATACATACATACAGGCAAAAACATTCAAACACAGAAAATACAAATCCTAAAAACAAACAAACAAATAAACAATAAAAACAAAGCACACAAAAATAAAAACAAAACACTTAAGTCCAGGCAGTTGTAGCACACGCCTTTAATCGGAAAGCAGAGGGATCGGATGGAAGCCTGCTCTGCAGAGAAGTTCAGGACAGCCAGACAGCCAGGAATGCATGGAAACCCTGTCTCACAAAACAAAACAAACAAAAAAACACCTTAAGCAAGATGTGGTGACTTATGTTTATAATCCTAGCACTTAAAAAGTCTGAGGCAGGAGGATTGCTTTGAATTCCGTGTCAGCTTGAGCTTTAGCCAGCCTGAGCTGAAATGTTCAAGGGCCGCCCTTCCAGGAACCTTCTCACTGGTGGAGGTTTGCAGTAAAAACACACATTGTATCTTAATCAAGTAGTCACAAGGTGCCTCTCGGCTCTGCCCATCTCAGAACAGAGTCCTGTTTCCAAGGGCCTCTCTTCTCGCTGGTTGGTTTGCCTGTTCTGCTCTGGGCATCACACATGCGCAGGCTGGAGGAGTGGCTGCCCAAAGGAAGAAAATTTTTCACCTTGATGTGGCAAGCGGGTCTTGTGAGGTGAGATAGGGCCTGAAGCCTTGACAAGTGCCCTGCCCTCCTCTGTGGCTGTTCCGTAAAGTGATTCAGAACGCTTCCTTAGTTCCTTGTTTGTCCTGGCCCTGAGGAAAGATCAGTCGCTGGGGAATGCAGCCTGCTAAAGGCACAAGAGGCTCAAGCATGTGGCACTTTGCTGGTCTATCTGCAACTCCATACTTCTTTTTCTAACTGTAGTTCGCAGTTTGGTTGCGCTTGCTTCCTTGCTGACACTCCCAGACATGTTAACAGACAGCCAATACCTGCAGAGCCGATCCTGGCAGAGTGCACGGCTTGATTCTGGGTAGCCAGAATGTGCAACATGGAAAAAGGCCAGTGGCCTTTGTCTAAGAGTTCTTGGAGAGAGCCGATACCAGCTCAAAGGAACTTGCCCGAGATCAGTACATTCAGGGCACTGTCTACCTGAACTCAGGACACTTCTATGGACTCTGGGGTGAGACCTTCAGTCAAGTCACCTGAATGGCTACTTGCAAGGGGAGAAGCATGGCCTATG